CTCTTAGGAGGCCTGCTGGGTCAGACAGAGAACAGTCCAGAAACCATCCAGAGAGCCATCGACAACCTGAAGAGGATGAACAGCCATAAAATTTCTCCTGACAGAAGCATCAACATTTTCCACTGTTTGATGGAGCTGAAAGACCACTCAGTCCATCAGGAGATCCAAGAGTTCATGAAGTCAGAGACCAGGTCAGATAAGGTACTTTCTGAGATCCACTGCTCAGCTCTGGCCTATATGTTGCAGATGTCAGAGGAGGTTCTGGATGAGTTGGACTTGAATAAGTACAGGACATCGGAGGAGGGACGACAGAGACTGGTCCCAGCTGTGAGGAACTGCAGAAAGGCTCGGTGAGTCCAGATGTGACCATCAACATTATAAAGCAACACAAAGATCAAGTATCAGAGTGAAGACACACACTTTACACATACTCACAATATAAAACACACTTGACAGGTTTTATTAATCTCATATTGAATCTGCTGATTGAACCAATTCTCCACGTGTTAGGCTCCAAATGTCTTTGTTGGCTTCAGCTCTTTGATAATGAGACCAACATGATGTTTGTGTTTCCAGCTGTCAAGTCAGTGAACACAAGAATCTTCTGTCTTTCTTTGGTTGATGGAGGTTTCATCCAAACTCAGCAGAAAAACTTCTGCTCTTAACAGTTTCTGCTGAAACCCTGTGGACAGTCGACATGTTTTCTCAACCGATGGCAGTTTCTTTACAGCGGACACAGTGTCTGCTCTGGGTTTCTGTCATCTAGCTGTTTATTAATCTTTTCTCTACAGACTCCCATTCCCTCTAATGTCTGGAACCTGGTAGAACTAACAGCAGCTGAAGCTGAGCAGTTTTCGTGCATTTATTGCTGTTATCCTATGTTTGTCCTCAGCACTTCCTGTTTCACAGTAAGAACTGCTCTGTCCATAGTTGTATTTTCTCCAACATCTATACTCAGTTGTGGAGCTGAGAGAGGATGTGGGGGGCGTCCTCACTCTGCTAGAAGGAACCAAACACCCCCCTCCTCATCCTCAGTCAGTTAAAGGTGTAGCTTTGACCTGTGTAGCTCCAGCAGTGAACATCTATCCACATGTGTTGTTGTGTTAGACATGAGTCTGATGTAGAAGCAGAAGCCATGCTGCTGTCTTTTCCTCTCTCTGGCAACATTTGAATGGACTGCTCTGTAAACAGTGGGATGTTCCAGAGCTGCTTGGCTCATGGTCCCTGATAGAGAGCCTTGTTTCAAGCTCGTCCTCATGTTCCCCCTTTTCCATTTGCTCAACCTCATGTGAGACATGAGAGAAGCGACACTGTGCCCCTGTGTTTCCTGTCTGCAGTAACAGTGGAGCTGAGATCTGTCAGAAACCTCCAGCACACATTAGACGCATCAGCGAGGTAAATACATACGAGTGCAGTTCCAGCCTAATGTCATGTTACAGCTGAATGAAGGTTAAAATCCAGTTGACCAATCACAGCCCCCTGTAAATCAGTCTTTAGGTTTCATCACATTGCTCAAGGACACTTTGACATGTGGACAGGAGGAGCTCAGGTTTCCAACCACAGTTCTTGTGATTAATGACTGACCTACTGACCACCTAAGCTACAGCTGCTCATATCAATCTGCTTTGGGATTGAAATTAATCAAGGCTGGTTTTATCCCAAGTCTCTGTTTTGATCAGATATTAAAGTTAATATTTTCTGTCACCACAGACTTTGTGACTGTCGACTCTCAGAGACTCACTGTGAAGTCATGGCCTCAGCTCTGAAGTCCAGCCCCTCCCATCTGAGAGAATTAGACTTGAACTACAATGGGCTACCTGACTCAGGAGTGAAGCTGCTGTGTGCTGGACTGGAGAGTCCACACTGTCAACTGGAGACTCTGAGGTCAGTTCATGTGTTTCTGCTTATATCAACAGAATTTTTCAATGTTCATTGTTTTTGCTGAGTCATCAAACTGGATCGGCATTTGAGAAATCTGTCAATTTATTTCCAATGTGCTATGACATGAAGTCACTGTTTCTAATGTTTGATATAAAAATGAAAAGCAGCTTCAGAACAGTGTTTTAGAGCAACTGACACTGCAAATGAGCCATTGTGTTTTTTTGTGTGGTGAAAAGACATCAATCGAACCTCTCCAGCAAACACACATGAACAATGAGTTTGTCTTCACATGTTCATGTGCTGCTACTGTTTATTTCCTGAACTCCGACATTCAGACATGAAACGGCAACTGTGGCCTGTCCCATTCTACTGGGAAAAGGTTTTGGATCCAAAATGTCAGATGGTTTAAACCTTACACACTTGGCTGAGGTCAGCAGTGTTTTTGAATGAAGGAATGATTCATTGTTAATGACTCACTGGGCTTTTATTTTGTAAATCCAGGGTGTTTCCTGTAGGCTTTCCCATTAATCACTGTTGACATGAACAGGTGTGTGAATTGTTGTGCTCACATCTGGACGGTGTCTGTAGAAGGCTGACATGATCATGATCCACAGGAACAGAAGGACAAAGTGGACAAAGTAGGACATATCTGATTGGATTATCAATGACTTCATCTACATGCTTTATTCTTTATTCAGACTGAAGGGCTGCTGTTTGTCAGAGATCAGCTGTGCTTCTCTGGCCTCAGCTCTGAAGTCCAACCCCTCCCATCTGAGAGAACTAGACCTGGGCTTGAACAACAACCTGCAGGATCCAGGACTGAAGCAGCTGTGTGGTTTTCTGGAGAGTCCAGACTGTCGACTGGAGACTCTGAGGTCAGACACCATGTTTTAGTTTTGTGCTGAGATGAATCTGATGTGAAAGTTGTGCTGACACCGAACTGCAGACATAAGACTGATATTCTACTGATCTATACTGAGGAGCTTCATGGGAAACTGTTTTCTTCTTCTGTGGTTTGGTCCATTGGCTGTTTATTTTCTCTGGCATATGTTTAGAACAACAACCAATCCACTGTGTAATCTATCAGACAACAACAAATACACAGTCACTGTCTGATGGCTCCAACACTTTGATAATTAGTGATGGCGAGATGAAGCTTCCTGAAGCATTGAAGCCTTCCAGCCAATTGGTTCGCAAAAGGGTTCATTTCTCCAGGCTTCATGCACACACAAACCCCCTGCTGGTCAAAGACTGTAAGACAGGCAGATGTGTTCGTAGTCATTTTAACTGTATGTGATGCTCTCAAAGCTGTCTTGCCACAGTTTGTCTTGCCATTTAACTGTGCATTGTTCTCTTGTGAGCACAAGATAATAACCCATTCAAACCATATGTTTTTGTCTCCCCTCATTAACGTGCTTGTGCTTGTTTGTAAATAGTGTACATAAGAGTTTCTGGGCTGATACATTCTAATCGATGTTCTGTGGTGGTAGTAGTACATATACCAAAGTGAACCTCCTCCTTTACATCAATAGTTGAAAAAGTCGTATAATAATGACAGGGACAATTATGTTTTCAAACTGTGGCAGTGTTAAAAAAGTGAACGTGCTTATCAACAGAGAAGAGCAGTGAAGGTGCTTGTGCCACTGATGTAGGAGGACACTATTCATTTTTATTTAAAAACAGTATTTGTTCAGCAGTGTTGGAGTTTAAGCGATTCCTCTTTATGGAAATACATAACTCATGAACTCTCCCAACTCCAACACTACCCATGAATTGTGTAGAGATTCCTTGGGCTTTATATCTGTCAATACATCGCGAAAATTCAAACCACTTCCTGAACCACTACATGCAAGGCTTCAAACATCATCGATGGTGTCACTCACTGTAAACAATGCAAGCCTCAATACGCGCTTCACTAAACACTTCCTGGATTTCTCTACACACGCTTCGAAACATTGGCACAGTACATCCCATCGCTATTGATAATACTATTTACTGTTTGTCCTGATTTGTCCTTTACTGAAGCAGCAGCATGTTGTCATTAATATTAATGAGAGTTCTGTATCACTTCTTGTATCTGACTGGTTTTAACCTGTATCCTGTTGGGTTCAGTCATTTGGAGTTTCCACTTTCTAAACCTTCTTCAGCTCTGAACAGACGATGAAACACTGAATGGTTTCAGGCAGGAACTTGGCCTTCTAATATCACATGGTTTATTCTTTATTCAGAATGTGGAGGTGTAGGTTGTCAGAGACCAGCTGTGCTTCTCTGGCCTCAGCTCTGAAGTCCAACCCCTCCCATCTGAGAGAACTGGACCTGAGTGACAACAATCTGCAGGATCCAGATGTGAAGCAGCTGTGTGATCTACTGGAGATTCCAGA